GTCAGCAAAACTATCATATGTTCCAAGGTGGATATTCCCAGGGTCAGACAAAATTATCATATTACATTTAACTCTGCTTACCACAAGTAGTGAGAGTAACAACATCTGTCTGATTTGAGGAGGCACCAAACTTGGTCAGGTCTGAGAAGTCAGCAGAGTTCTTGGATGTTTCAGCAAACAGAAGTTCTGAAATACACACATTTTGTCTCTGAGTCAAGATACAAACTCTCAAAATATCTATAAAACAAATAAAATATTCTTAAATGTCCTACCATCATCAGTGTGGATGATAAAACGCATTTTGTTGGTTGTTGCAAGTTCTGGAAAGACATCCTCATCCACCTCTATGCAATGGTCATCTGTGACTTTCAATCTTGTATTCTTTGGTATCAGAAACTTCTGCTGGACAACACAATAACATCAACATGTTATTTTCAAAATAAATTACAAAATCACTGCTACTTACTCTTTATTAACTGAATACTAAACATATAACTCACCTGTACTGAGAAAATCTGAGAAACAAACATCTTCCAGTTTTACATACTTCTTCCCTCCACGTTGCACTTTTATCAAAATCGTGACCTGACATTAAAGAGAAAAAATGTAATTTAAGATAACAGCTAATGTTAGTGTGATTGAGAATGCAAAAAAAAAATGTTTAAGCTGAAAACCACGCGCTCTCATGTCACGACTAAAACGTATTTATCAGCTGTTACAATTCAAAACATTGCAGGCCTACACTTTCACAGCTCAACTATAGCCAGGGTAGACACTGCAGTTTAGTAACCACGTATGTAAAACATAAGGCTATCTGACAGACATAAGGCTGCATTACTGGATAAAAGAAACTACCTCGTCGGCATTAGTTTATGGAAGCTGAATATGATGTTTCTTGAGCTGAGTCACTACTTTAATTTGATGGCAAAACACTCATTTTCAGGAACACGGAGAATGGAAAAACGGTTAACTAATGTTGGCTCCTTCACATCGAAAAAAAAAAAGCCCGCACAAAACATGCTCGGAAAAACGGAGAAAATATGAGTTACGTTCAGCACCAAGTTCGCCACGATCATTGACGTTAGTACACAGTATAACGTAACAGCTACGACAAAACGTGTTTCTGTCAGAAAATATCGAACATTTTTGAAAGTTCAAAATACGCTTTTACCTACCTCACGATGAAGTACAAGTCCTTTGTGCTGCAGAACCAGGGTCGTGCCGTGGCGCACTTCTCAACATTTAACTCCAGATGTGGTGTTAAAACACGCTCCTGAACACCAATTAATGAACTCCAAAATAAAACACAGCCAGGGAGTATCCCATAACACATGCTGTAGTCAGAGTTAAAAAATAAACTCCAGAAATCTAACTCTTTCACTCTTTTTTTGCCTAACTCCTGATTTTTCAACTGCAGAAATTTGCTGTGTATGACCCAATTTATTGTGTTTTACACACTATTTATGACACAATTTATAGTTGCTGTCTAACCTATGATGATCAATCTTTTAGTTACTGCTGTTACTCTCAGCAGGCGTGGATTAACGCACAGGTTTGCGTAGGCTGCAGCCTAGGGGGGCCCCACGTGTGCAGGGGCCCCGGATTGGCCAGACTATTTTTTATAGTTATAGTTGCTAGACAGCATAGCGGCAAAATTTCTGAACGAAAGTACGATAGCGGAGCACAAAAGCGGAAAATACGAAGGTTAAAAGAACAACATGAACAAGATATACTGAAAAATGGATTAACTTGATAAAGCAAGTCCCCTTTTCCATATCGTGTTTGCGCACGCAAGACAGACGTGCTCTTCATTCGTCTCACTTCGCAATGATAAAAATAATCAGCGGCATCATGCAAATCATTTTTGTGTTTATTATAGTGCAAATAAACCGTGTTCAAATACTGAACTCATATTAGTTTAAATATTATTACAATTAAAAAATTAGCACGTTAACGCAGACGATTAATTGTTTCAGTGTAACGTGTTAAATATTTAACGCCGTTAATGCAGGGGTGGGGCTAGTGTTGGCCACTCCACTCACAACTGCTGCTTCTGTCTCTTTTTTTTTTCTTGACAAGAAGTCCATTTATTTAGTCGCAGAATGTCTTTACAACCACATCAGATGATAGACTTTTAAGACGCCATCTCCACTTCACATCAATGCCAGACGAGAGTCAAACGAGCGCGGAAACTGTACTGTGCTCGTAGCGCGTATTCTGTAGCCTGTATCATTTCATATCAAAACGCGAAATAATGTCGTGGTCCGTTAAGTCATGAAGTTACCAAAAAGGTGATTAAAGCTGCCTTAAAAACTGTGTATGTATGTAATATGTTATATATGTGTCACATTTAAGAACATGTCTCTGAAATGGTTTTCCAAACTCTCCTGGAGCAGCCCAGCACCGTCTCACTCATCTAACACACCCGATTCAACTCGTCAGATCATTAGTATTGGTATCTCTATATTTTTATTACCATATAGTTTTTTTGTTGTTGTCTATTCTCTTTATTATTAGTGTTATATTTCATTTTGTTACCTTCAGTTATGTGTATGTCTGCAAGCTCCTGTCACCAAGACAAATTCCTTATGTGTGTAAACACACTTGGCAAATTCTGATTCTGATTTATATTAATTTAGTTTTCACATGTTGAGGATTTATGCAAATCTATGTGTGTGTTGGTTGTTTAGTATTCAGGACTCTCAAAGTGTCACAGAGGACACGGTGCAGTTTGTCGATTAGAGGAGGTGATGCTGACATCTTCATCAGCTCTTCTCTCAGTGAGAGAGGTCCTTATCAGACCACCATCTCCTTCACACTGACCCCGCCTAATCAATTCACACACACAATAACAGTTCCACGCCAGACGGATCGATGGATCTCCACCAATACAAACACTCACACACACCCCATGTCCTCATGTGTCCCCAGTGAGTTGGATTGCATCAGGACTGTTGTGATTCCTGCGGCGTGAGATCTCAGGGAGGAGGTCATGACACGCTCCTGTGGCACACTGTCAGATCCGTCAGCGCTCTCTGGAGCTTTGAGTGTGTTTTGTGGGGGTGTGTCCCAAAAAGTCATCGCTCATAAATTCAGACAAAGGAGCTGCTGATTGTTAATGTTAATTAATACATTCATTAACCTACCGCTAACCTCAGTGCATGATTGACACAACCTCCACAGCCTGAATGTGCCGATGGCTGGATTTAAAGTGCATGCTGGGAAAAGAGACAATAAGCTGCAGATTTGTCACAATGCCTTTGTGCTCCAGCCAGTCAGATGGAGACGTGCCATTTGCAGCTTTAATTACACACAGGCCATTATGAGAAATAGTTGTAAATTTCATGCAGTGATTTGCTGAAGTTTGGCTTTGTATTTTAAATGTTATGCCTTCCTCCTCTGTCTTAGCTTAGTGCATTAATAATTTAATATTAATAATAATATATTTTTTTGCACACTGCTAATAAAGCATGTCTTAGCTTTTACCTGCATTAGTGACACTTACATTTATGTATTTAAGACATTTAACAGACCTGTAGTTACATGTATTTTTAATGCATTTCTTATTGAAATTTGGAACACAAGTTTGGAACACATTAAATAACCAATAGCCTTAAGTTTCTTTCAAAGATTGGTCAAAATTGGATATGCTCTTGAATAAGGAATATTTTTGTTCAGTTTTCCCAGTAGAATAAGACCATCCATCTATCTATCTATCTATCTTTTTTAAATTTTGCAGTGCAATGTGATCTGGACATTTTTTGTGTGATTCCCTTAATGTCAATATAACAACTGTTACAGTATCTGAGTGGTACAGTAGTTTTGTTTCTTGACTTTTTTGTCTTATATGTCATCTAGTTTATTTGATGACCCCTGTCTAGTTTTTCTGATTGTGTTCATGTAACGAAGTAGCTATTCATGTGTAACCCTGCGTCATGCTTTTCTGCTCATCCAGAGTCTTATCACAGTCTGGAGTCTCTAGAGACCAGACACTCATAAATCACATCACCCGCTGCCACCCAGACACTCGACACTGAACCGGAGACCCTATTAACCTGCTCCTATCTTAATGAGTTAGTTAACGCACTATTTTCTGTTAATGTAGCTCATCCTTGAGCTCGGGTGCCTGGGGAATGCTGGGAAAGTGTGATAATTGGCTGTAGTTTATCATCGATTGCAGACTGATGAATGGGGCAAGAGGGACTCCATTTGTTTATGTCTTGTTTTGCTTTATCTCACTGCCATCTTCCCCTCCTCCTCTCCTCTCCATCTCACCTCGTCTGAAGGCTGGAGTCAACGTGCTCCTGCAGGATGTGAACGGGAACATTCCACTCGACTACGCCACAGAGGGCACGGAAACCAGCTACATCCTCATCAGACACCTGGAGGAGAATAGTAGGATCCTTCATTCATTTAGTTCTTTATTTATCAGTTTTATATGACTACATAAAAAACGTGTACTACCATTTACAAGTTTGGGGTCAATTGTGATTGATTGATTGATTATTATTATTATTTTTTAATAATATGCTTATTTCACTAAAGCTGCATTTATTTGATCAAAAATGCAGTAAAAACTGTAGTATTGTGAAATATCCTGTTTCCTGTGAGGCAAAGCTGAATTTTCAGCATCATTACTCCAGTGTTTAGTGTCACATGGTCCTTCAGAAATTATTGTAATATGATGATTTGCTGCATAGGAAATATTATTGTCATTTATGCTGCTTAATATATTTGTTATACACTTTTTACAAAATAAAAATATTTTGTAACATTAAAAATGTCTTTACTTTTTTGATCAATGTAATGCAGTCTTGCTCAATCAATCAATCAATCAATCAATCAATCAATCAATCAGACAGACCCCAGATTTACCTTTTTTTCCTCAAAAAATTTAATTTAATTAAATGTTTCATTTTTAGATGGTAGAACACTTCTGCTCTGTGTGGATTTTTGTAGATTTTTTTTTGTAAAATAGATTGAAACTGCAGCAGCTCTTTTTCATCTTGTCTTGTGTAGGACACATTCTGGTATAGATTTTTGTGTGACACCGTGTTTCCCATTGCTCACATGTGTACACAACAAAGCAGTCCTGCCAACTGATATCCCAGTGTTTCTCAACCCTAGTCCTGGGCGCCCCCCAACACTGCACATTTTGTATGTCTCCCTTATCTGACACCCATTTCAGGTCCTGGAGTTTCCTTTAATGAGCTAATGAGTTGAATCAGGTGTGTTTGATTAGGAAGACACACAAAATGTGCAGTGCTGGGGGGCGCCCAGGACCAGGGTTGAGAAACACTGTGATAAACGCTCAAATATATTTCTAGCGACTGAATTGTATATACAGTCCTACCATTCAGCCATGTCGTTGTTAACGGTCATCCGTTCTGTCAGCTCACATGCTGGATTCAGTAAGAGTTACTTTAGCCTGCGAATCAATCAGTGAGATCCAACGAAACAGACACACTTCTCTGGGCTGCTGTCACTAAGCTCGTTTATCATTACAGTCAAGACTCTCACCATCTCAGAAGGGCCTACTCCACATCTTCTGTTGTGTAATTGAGCACTATTTGCAAGTGGAGATGATTTGTTGCCTCAGACATTTGAAACACATCATCCAGTTGAGACAAAATGAGGACACAGAGAGAGATCCCATCTTGTCTGATCCCGTACATAAGAGCTCTGTCATGTGACTTCTGTCCTGAACTCCTCCTGTCCATCATCTGCTTTTCACTTGTTCACTTGTCTTGATGTTTGTCAGGAGTGGACATGAGCTCTATGCACCAGATGAAGACCCAGCGCTCATCCACCATGTTGTCTGACGTGAGGCAGCTGGTCAGCAGCGGGGGCAGTGTCAATCAACAAAATGATGACGGGGTCACGCTGGTGAGAAAATACATCAATCCCAAAATGTGTAACGGTTGGCTGATCTCTAAATATAGCACAGTCTGTGTAATGTGTTCAGATGGTGATTTGAATCGGAAGGCTTTTGGCTAAATGGAGCAACACGTGTGACGTGTGTGTCTGTGTTTGCAGCTACACATCGCCAGTGCCAATGGTTATAAGGAGGTGGTGTCCGTGCTGCTGGAGAGTGGGGCAGAAGTCCAGGTGTCTGACAACAGTTTCTGGACACCATTACATCTGGCTGCCAAATATGGGCAGGTACATATCAGTGTTAATTTTGACAGGCATTTTTGATTTAGTCTTGGTCTTTATCTTGAGACGAAAATGCTTAATAGTCTTAGTCACATTTTAGTAATTTGAGTCTTTCAAAGTTTTAGTTGATGAAAAGTCATTGCATTTTTGTCAACTTTTAGTCAAAATGTAGTTACCAACATTTATTTTGGTAGCTATTTTATATGTAGTCTTCAAACAAAAATAGTCATTAATTCTTCTCTCTTTAGACCAAATCAATTAAGCTTATGATAAATTTGAATCAAGGATTGAATTTGGAAAAACTTGAATAAATGATAACAATTTTCATTTTTGGGTGAACTATCCCTTTAACAATAGTGAAAAGGGAGCAACTTATAAAACATATAGTTGTTCATATATAATATATATATGTTATACTTTTTGAAAAAGCAGAATAAGACAATAAGACAAATACGAAAGAGATACAAATTAAACTCATTTTTCAGATTCAGTAGGTTTACTTAACATATTTATTTAACGTCTTTTGTTGGTTAACATTAATGCCACTGTACTTAATCAGGAATGCTGTCCCTTTAAGACAGAAGGCATGCATGTAATACTGAGACAAGTTCAGTTTTCACCCACCTGTTTACGTTCACTTAATCCATAACCGACTGTATTTACGTGAGATGCTCTACACGATAGACATTTGGACTGCTGTGTGTGTATTTGAGCACTGAGAACTGATCGCGCGCTGTATATGAGAGCTGAAGAAGTGGAGAGTGCGCGAGAGAGAGCACTTCTATCAGCGTGATTCCGCCTATCCCGCCTTCACTAACTTTAAGTTAATCGACGACGAATTGTGACTCCCGGGAAAAATGGGACGTCTAGTCACCTTATCCCATTGTTTCAGATCGCTAGTTCACATTTTGGTAGCCTATCCATCCACTGCGGCTGCCATACTGAGACTAGATATGCAAATACCCCTTATCCGAATTGCAATCCAATGACAGGGACACACATTTTAAAGGACAAGACAGTAGCCTATAGAATTTATTTTGAATGTCCGGTAGTTCTCAAATAACATTATAGTCCCGTCTCGTCTTGTTAACAAAGATGCGGCATCAATTTCGTCATAGTTTTTTTCATCAGATATTAGTTTTAGCTCGTCTTAGTCACAGAAAAAATGTTTGTTTACGAATATATTTCGTCGTCGTCTTCGTTGACGAAATTAACACTGGTACATATCATTACATGGCATTACATATAATTTCATGATGGACACTGACTTTCGAAATCACAATTAAATATGGACTAAACCATATTTTGCAACTTTAGGCACATGATTGATAGAATAATATATGTATTTGTTTTCTTCAGGTATTTTAGAAATGTATTTACATGACAACCCTCTCTGTGCTAATTTAATTTAATTTAATTTAATTTAATTTAATTTAATTTAATTTAATTTAATTTAATTTAATTTAATTTAATTTAATTTAATTTAATTTAATTTAATTTAAAAGCACTGCTAATTAATATAATGTATTTGCATGGCAAACTGTCTTTTGCAGTAATTCTTCCTTTAATTAAACAAATCTAAAATAAATGCATATTACATTTCATTTGTAGTACTAATAAAAAACAACAACAACAACACGCAAATAAATGCATTATATTAATTTGAAGTGCTGTGAAAATAAAAAAAACTAGAAATTAAATTAAAAATACATTAATTTAATTTATATTCACGTGATATAGCACTACATATTAAATGTAAATAAATAAATTAAAATATTTTAAGTTAATTATTCAAAGTATTTACATGCCAAGCTATTTCTTGGAGTAATTCCGCCTTTAAAGATGTAAGTAAAATAAATACGTATTATGTTAATCCATAGTGTTAAAATAAAAGTTTTATTTTAATAGAATAAATAAATTCATATCATATTATTTTGAAGTGCTATACAAATAAACAAATGTATACAATAAAAATCATTTATTTATTTATTTGTTTGTTTTGTTTACTTCTGTAGCACTTGCCATCAAAAAGACTGCTGACCTGGACAAAACAAATGTTAGGGCTAATTTGAATTTGCATGAGTGTAATATGCTACATTTCATTTGTCTTTGAGTTTAGCCATTTTATCAGATTGCTGTTCACGGTCAGTGGAATGTATTGATATTAGAGTTATTCACGATGAATTCTAAAGTAAACAGAAATCATTCATGATCCAGCCTCATCTACAGAAGAAGTGTGTATAATGTTTTGTAATGAATCTTTGCAAATCGCCTTTCCTAATAATGTGCTAATTAGCAAGTTTCACGATGAATTCTAAAGTAAACAGAAATCATTCATGATCCAGCCTCATCTACAGAAGAAGTGTGTATAATGTTTTGTAATGAATCTTTGCAAATCGCCTTTCCTAATAATGTGCTAATTAGCAAGTTTCACGATGAATTCTAAAGTAAACAGAAATCATTCATGATCCAGCCTCATCTACAGAAGAAGTGTGTATAATGTTTTGTAATGAATCTTTGCAAATCGCCTTTCCTAATAATGTGCTAATTAGCAAGTTTCACGATGAATTCTAAAGTAAACAGAAATCATTCATGATCCAGCCTCATCTACAGAAGAAGTGTGTATAATGTTTTGTAATGAATCTTTGCAAATCGCCTTTCCTAATAATGTGCTAATTAGCAAGTTTCACGATGAATTCTAAAGTAAACAGAAATCATTCATGATCCAGCCTCATCTACAGAAGAAGTGTGTATAATGTTTTGTAATGAATCTTTGCAAATCGCCTTTCCTAATAATGTGCTAATTAGCAAGTTTCACGATGAATTCTAAAGTAAACAGAAATCATTCATGATCCAGCCTCATCTACAGAAGAAGTGTGTATAATGTTTTGTAATGAATCTTTGCAAATCGCCTTTCCTAATAATGTGCTAATTAGCAAGTTTCACGATGAATTCTAAAGTAAACAGAAATCATTCATGATCCAGCCTCATCTACAGAAGAAGTGTGTATAATGTTTTGTAATGAATCTTTGCAAATCGCCTTTCCTAATAATGTGCTAATTAGCAAGTTTCACGATGAATTCTAAAGTAAACAGAAATCATTCATGATCCAGCCTCATCTACAGAAGAAGTGTGTATAATGTTTTGTAATGAATCTTTGCAAATCGCCTTTCCTAATAATGTGCTAATTAGCAAGTTTCACGATGAATTCTAAAGTAAACAGAAATCATTCATGATCCAGCCTCATCTACAGAAGAAGTGTGTATAATGTTTTGTAATGAATCTTTGCAAATCGCCTTTCCTAATAATGTGCTAATTAGCAAGTTTCACGATGAATTCTAAAGTAAACAGAAATCATTCATGATCCAGCCTCATCTACAGAAGAAGTGTGTATAATGTTTTGTAATGAATCTTTGCAAATCGCCTTTCCTAATAATGTGCTAATTAGCAAGTTTCACGATGAATTCTAAAGTAAACAGAAATCATTCATGATCCAGCCTCATCTACAGAAGAAGTGTGTATAATGTTTTGTAATGAATCTTTGCAAATCGCCTTTCCTAATAATGTGCTAATTAGCAAGTTTCACGATGAATTCTAAAGTAAACAGAAATCATTCATGATCCAGCCTCATCTACAGAAGAAGTGTGTATAATGTTTTGTAATGAATCTTTGCAAATCGCCTTTCCTAATAATGTGCTAATTAGCAAGTTTCACGATGAATTCTAAAGTAAACAGAAATCATTCATGATCCAGCCTCATCTACAGAAGAAGTGTGTATAATGTTTTGTAATGAATCTTTGCAAATCGCCTTTCCTAATAATGTGCTAATTAGCAAGTTTCACGATGAATTCTAAAGTAAACAGAAATCATTCATGATCCAGCCTCATCTACAGAAGAAGTGTGTATAATGTTTTGTAATGAATCTTTGCAAATCGCCTTTCCTAATAATGTGCTAATTAGCAAGTTTCACGATGAATTCTAAAGTAAACAGAAATCATTCATGATCCAGCCTCATCTACAGAAGAAGTGTGTATAATGTTTTGTAATGAATCTTTGCAAATCGCCTTTCCTAATAATGTGCTAATTAGCAAGTTTCACGATGAATTCTAAAGTAAACAGAAATCATTCATGATCCAGCCTCATCTACAGAAGAAGTGTGTATAATGTTTTGTAATGAATCTTTGCAAATCGCCTTTCCTAATAATGTGCTAATTAGCAAGTTTCACGATGAATTCTAAAGTAAACAGAAATCATTCATGATCCAGCCTCATCTACAGAAGAAGTGTGTATAATGTTTTGTAATGAATCTTTGCAAATCGCCTTTCCTAATAATGTGCTAATTAGCAAGTTTCACGATGAATTCTAAAGTAAACAGAAATCATTCATGATCCAGCCTCATCTACAGAAGAAGTGTGTATAATGTTTTGTAATGAATCTTTGCAAATCGCCTTTCCTAATAATGTGCTAATTAGCAAGTTTCACGATGAATTCTAAAGTAAACAGAAATCATTCATGATCCAGCCTCATCTACAGAAGAAGTGTGTATAATGTTTTGTAATGAATCTTTGCAAATCGCCTTTCCTAATAATGTGCTAATTAGCAAGTTTCACGATGAATTCTAAAGTAAACAGAAATCATTCATGATCCAGCCTCATCTACAGAAGAAGTGTGTATAATGTTTTGTAATGAATCTTTGCAAATCGCCTTTCCTAATAATGTGCTAATTAGCAAGTTTCACGATGAATTCTAAAGTAAACAGAAATCATTCATGATCCAGCCTCATCTACAGAAGAAGTGTGTATAATGTTTTGTAATGAATCTTTGCAAATCGCCTTTCCTAATAATGTGCTAATTAGCAAGTTTCACGATGAATTCTAAAGTAAACAGAAATCATTCATGATCCAGCCTCATCTACAGAAGAAGTGTGTATAATGTTTTGTAATGAATCTTTGCAAATCGCCTTTCCTAATAATGTGCTAATTAGCAAGTTTCACGATGAATTCTAAAGTAAACAGAAATCATTCATGATCCAGCCTCATCTACAGAAGAAGTGTGTATAATGTTTTGTAATGAATCTTTGCAAATCGCCTTTCCTAATAATGTGCTAATTAGCAAGTTTCACGATGAATTCTAAAGTAAACAGAAATCATTCATGATCCAGCCTCATCTACAGAAGAAGTGTGTATAATGTTTTGTAATGAATCTTTGCAAATCGCCTTTCCTAATAATGTGCTAATTAGCAAGTTTCACGATGAATTCTAAAGTAAACAGAAATCATTCATGATCCAGCCTCATCTACAGAAGAAGTGTGTATAATGTTTTGTAATGAATCTTTGCAAATCGCCTTTCCTAATAATGTGCTAATTAGCAAGTTTCACGATGAATTCTAAAGTAAACAGAAATCATTCATGATCCAGCCTCATCTACAGAAGAAGTGTGTATAATGTTTTGTAATGAATCTTTGCAAATCGCCTTTCCTAATAATGTGCTAATTAGCAAGTTTCACGATGAATTCTAAAGTAAACAGAAATCATTCATGATCCAGCCTCATCTACAGAAGAAGTGTGTATAATGTTTTGTAATGAATCTTTGCAAATCGCCTTTCCTAATAATGTGCTAATTAGCAAGTTTCACGATGAATTCTAAAGTAAACAGAAATCATTCATGATCCAGCCTCATCTACAGAAGAAGTGTGTATAATGTTTTGTAATGAATCTTTGCAAATCGCCTTTCCTAATAATGTGCTAATTAGCAAGTTTCACGATGAATTCTAAAGTAAACAGAAATCATTCATGATCCAGCCTCATCTACAGAAGAAGTGTGTATAATGTTTTGTAATGAATCTTTGCAAATCGCCTTTCCTAATAATGTGCTAATTAGCAAGTTTCACGATGAATTCTAAAGTAAACAGAAATCATTCATGATCCAGCCTCATCTACAGAAGAAGTGTGTATAATGTTTTGTAATGAATCTTTGCAAATCGCCTTTCCTAATAATGTGCTAATTAGCAAGTTTCACGATGAATGCTAAAGTAAACAGTCTCTCTGAGAGCAGCTCGGAAGAGAGGGGAGGGATTAGCAGAAGAGCTCATTAACATTTAAAGGAAAATGCTACAAAAACGGCTTGATCTGAAAAGAGCTGTTTTTGACAGGGTAAAAAAGGTGTTTTGTACACTACCATTGAGAAATTTTAACCAAACTATGTTACAGACTTTTCATTAAGACCCTAAAGAATCATATCAACTTGTGGAAAATGGGCATGACCCCTTTAAGTTCTTGTTTATTGAACTGCTGTATGAAATGAAATAAATGTCATATTTTCAGTCGTGCAGATATTCAGGGAAAAAAACAGTACTCTTGCTTGTTTAATATTGCTGAACTATAAAATATTGTATAAATATCAGACAAAAACCAGAAACGGCATGCAATGTAAGATGACATACAGGTCACGTGTAAAACAGTGCCGCTTCAAGTACTAAAGCTAGGAGCTCCTTTGTTTTGCATCTTTTGATAACTTAAAGAACGTGGTTCTCATTTCATTGCCTGTGACTCTATTATTCTTCAACAGGCGTCACCAGTTTTTTGTGTAGGTTAAGGTGACAAATCATACCAGCATTCTTTGAGGTTAAAACACATACTTGATTATTTTCATAACAGTTCTGTATAAATTACATAAGGAGAAATGTGTTCTGTACACTGTATAGTCAAACATAGCAGACAAACAGACAGAAATCAAAACCCACATGTTGCTACAGAAACAAAGCTAACATAGCCCATTACAAAGCAACCTAATTTACAGCAACCTTATTTTAATACTCGAAAACAGAACCAATATTAATTGTTGAAAAAGCTGAAAAAGCCATCTCCTAACTTTCTCTACAGCCTCACAGTCATTTTCACAGGTCTACTGCAGGCAGAGAAGCAGGATTTGTCAATTGTTGATGGTGTTTGTCCAGAGAGTCAGTCTGCAGGGTTTCATTGTTCTGGCCACATTCAGTGCGAGTGAATAAGAGAGATTGATGAAGTATGTAGAGACTCAGTAGCTCAGTAAGTCTACAGCCGCAAGTCTCCTCATTAATACCTGGGTTGACGGTGAGAGGCAGAGAGAGTTGAAGATAGAGATCGTTCATCTCTCAGCATGCTAATCAATATATCTTTTGTGTGATTGGAACGCGATTGAGCTGTCAGAGCAGAGTCGCACATCTCACACTCTTCCTGAGTGCACCACTCTCACCTTTTCCAATGTGATCTTATGAGTATTCGTATGTTTTTTAAGTGCAAAGTGCCTACCACATGTACTGTTCATTTACAATGTTTAAAAAACAATTACAAATTCAGTGATATTATTGATTTCACTGCAATGACTATATCAGATGTGAACAAAATTTGAACTGAATTGAGTTGGATAATAACACTATCTTTGCAATATCGACACTGCCATAGAAGTACACTAAATCAACATTAAACTAACTTGAGCCAAATCATGACATTACTGTCTTCTGTAGAGCTGCTTATAGTTATATATATATTTACCTTGCATGTCTGAGAGCTGTTATTTTCGGGCAGCCAAATTTTTCCTTGCATTATTTACACTGTTGTTTTGTGAGGTTTGTGTAGAGGGGAGGGATGCCCTTCTGGAAAATACCATAGTTTTACATGGTTTCTACCTGGTCCAAGCTTGTCTATATGGTTGATTTTAGACTATCAGCTGGTATAGGCCAAATATTTTAATGTACCATATTTCAAAAACCAACTTGACCCCCTTAAGCTACAATGACTTGGTTAAGACCTCTAACCCTCTGTGCAGTCTTTGAGCGGACCACTTTCCATACTCTTCCATCAAAGAAGCTGATTGTATACTGTCACTTCATGCATCTTGAACAATCAGATCAATATCTGCAAATTCTATTCGCACTCATGCTGTCCCCATCATTTCCAGCATACTATTGCAATCTGGCATAGTTTATTGAACTGTAAAACATTACTGCAATGAATGGGTGCCGTCAAAATGAGAATTCAAACAACTGATAAAAGCTTTGCAATCAATTGGCATCCTTCTGTCTCGAGAGACAGTGGAGTATCTGCGCCCGGGTCAGTCTTTTGTGGAATTGCAGTGCCTGCTGTGGCTAAACAGTCCAATACGAGAGCGGCAGAGTCTGTTGCAGTTACTACAGGTGAAGCCTGAGGCTGCTTCTGTGGGCACTGACCCTACTCTCTGCCGTCTGCGCTGCCTTTTCTCCTCCCACTGGTCCTCTTTCTTTCCCTCGCTCAGCTTTGTGCTGGTCCTTACGGCGAGCCGCCAGCCGACGCGGTCTGCGGCATCAGCTTCCAAGTCTGCAGGATTCAGGCTTCCGGCTTTCAGGTCACGCTTGCAGAAGTCTTTGTACCGGAAGAACTGGTCTGCCTGTTGGTCTGGTACCGGAGGCGAGCTCGCCATACATGATGTCCTTAGGAATCCGGCCATCCTGCATTCGGCAGACATGGCCGAGCCAGCGTAGGCGTCTTTGTGAAAGGAGTGCGTGCATGCTTAATGTTTTTGCCTGGGCCACGGTCCTGCCAGGTGATTCCAAGGATCCTTCTCAGGCAGCGCAGATGAAAAGAGTTAAGTCTGCGTTCTTGCCAGGTGTACATAGTCCATGTCTCGCTGCCGTAGAGAAGAGTGCTGAGGACATTGGCCTGGTACACTTTCATCTTGGTGTTGGTGGTGAGCATGCTATTGTTCCACACTCTCTTGGTCAGGTGGGCCATCGCTATTGATGCCTTGCCGATTCTGTTGTTCAGCTCGTTGTCCAAAGAGAGGCTGCTGGAGATGGTGGAGCCAAGATATGTCAAGTCCTCCACTACCTCGAGGGTGTGATCGCCGATGGAGATGCAGGAAGTGCTGCTGACATCATGGCCCATGACATTTGTTTTCTTTAGGCTGATGGTCAGCCCAAACTCATCAGAAGTGTGAGCGAAGCTGCTGTTGAGACGCTGTAGTGCTTCCTCGGTATGGGCAGTCAGGGCGGCGTCATCAGCAAACAGCACCTCCCTAAACAGGACCCTGCGCACCTTGGTCTTTGCGTGCAGACATGCAAGGTTGAAAAGGTTGCCATCGCTCATAGTGCAAATGAAGACACCATCTTCTGACTGACTGAAGGCGTGGTGCAGCAGCAGGGAGAAGATGATGCCGAAGACTGTCGGGGCGAGGACACAACCTTGCTTCACGCCGCTTCGGATTGGGAAAGGTTCTGAAGGACGTGACCATCTTCAGAAGCTTGTGGGGGACATCCGATCCTGTGCAGTAGGGTGAAGAGGCCTTTCCTGCTGACCAAGTCAAAGGCCTTGGTCAGGTCGATAAAGGCGATGTAGGGTGGCTGTCTCTGCTCCCGGCACTTCTCCTGTAGCTGTCTCAGTGAGAAGATCATGTCGATCGTTGATCTCTGGGATCTGAAGCCACACTGCGCCTCTGGGTAAACGCGTTCAGCCAGCACTTGGAGTCTGTTCAGCACCACGCAGGCGAAGACCTTCCCCACCATGCTCAGCAAGGAGATGCAGCGGTAGTTGTTACAGTCACTGCCGTCTCCTTTGTTCTTGTAGAGCGTGATGTTGGCATCTCACATGTCCTGAGGAACTGTTCCCTCCTCCCAACACTGAAGTAAGAGTTCATGAAGGTGGTCGAGGAGGACACTCTTCTTGCCAGCCTTGATGACCTCTGGGGGAATGCCGTCACTGCCTGGAGCTTTGCCACATGCTAAAGAGTCAATGGCCTTGCTGAGCTCATCTACAGTGGGCAGAGCATCAAGTTCCTCCATCTCGGGCAAGGGGAGGTGCTCTCCATTGCAGTGTCAGTGACGACGTTCTCCCTCGAGTATAGCTGCTGGTAGTGCTCCGCCCATCTCTCCATCTGCTTACCGCGGTCTGTGATGACATCACCTGTAGCGGACTTCAGGGGAGCGATCTTGATGGTTCTTGGGCCAATGCTTTCTTCATGCCCTCATACATGGCGTGGATGTTCCCACAGTCTGCGGAGAGCTGAATGCTCTGACAGAAGTTCAGCCAATAATCATTGGCTCATATCCTGGCAATCTGCTGGGTGTCATTTCTGGCCTTCCTGGGAGTGCAGCTAATGCCTTCTCTGAAGGCTTGCGCTTGTAGTCTAGCAGAGCTGTACGTTTGACTGTGATGGCTGGCTCAATTTCTGTTATTCCTGCTTCAAACCAGTCTGGGTTTTTCTTCTCCCTCTTGCCGAAGGTTGCCATGGCCGAGTTGTAGATGGCGTTACGGATGTGGCTCCATCTCTCTTCAGCGCTGTTCTCTGGGCAGTCCTTGAGGGCCACTTCAATGGTACTGGCAGAGCGTGTGCAAACTTCGGGGACTGATGTCAGGGCTGTGTTAAAACGTGGCCGTCCTTTCTGCTTGGAGTTGTGGATCCGCTTGGGGTAAAGGCGTACCTTGCTCCCAACCAGTGAGTGGTCAGTGTCACAGTCGGCACTGTGGTAGCTGCGGGTAGTAAGAATGCATTTCAGCAGGGGTCTTCTGGTAATGACAAGATCCAGCTGGTGCCAGTGACAGGATCTGGGGTGTCACCAGGACACTCGATGGCAGGGTTTGGTTGAGAAGAACGTGTTTGAGATGCACAGGTCATGGTATGAACAAAGTTCTAACAGTCTCTGTCCATTTTCGTTAAGCTTGCCAATGCCAAAATGGCCGATACAACGGGGCCAGGAGTTGTGATCGGCTCTGATCTGGGCGTTGAAGTCCCCAAGTAGGAACAGGTGTTCTGTGGTAGGGATCTCTTCGATAGTGGTCTCAAGCTCTTCATAAAATGTGTCCTTTGACTCAGCTGAGGAGCAGAGTGTAGGAGCATAGATGCTCAGGATGTTGACTGGGCCTGAAGAGGTAGAGAGGCAGGGAGAGAGGATTCTGGGCGTACCTCCAAAAGGCGGCTCAATTGAGGACAGCATGGAGCTCCTCACTGCAAATCCAATGCCGTGTATTCGAGGCTCCTCAGACTCCTTTCCCTGCCAGAAGAACATGTAGTCCTGTTCTCTGAGGCTGCC